CGGAGCTTGGAAAATCTATTTTTTATTACTACAACATTCAGAACTTTTCAGTGAGCATGGCCAGTACAGAATCCTGGAAGTTCTAGTCCAAAAGGGAGCTTTTCCAAGCACTGACCATTCCTCACAAAGCACAAGGATAGTGATAGGTTGTATGTATCTTAAAATTCAAAACAGTCTATTGCAGTTGTTCTCAACCTGTGGGTCCCCAGGTGTTTTGACCTTCAACTCCCAGAAATCCTAACAGCTGGTAAACTGGCTGGGATTTCTGGGAGTTGTAGGATAAAACACCTGGGGACCCACAGGTTGAGAACCACTGGTCTATTGCGTTGACCTGCGTGTGTTCGTGTGCACCCAAGTTGCCTGTTCACTTATGGTTACTCCAATAATTCCATACAGTTTTTTTTGGATTTTCAAATATTGTTTCCCTGGTTTATTCTCTCAAAAAGATTTGCAACATCTCGTATTCATTGGCAGTCTCCCATCCAAGCACTAACCAAGGACAACCCTGCTTAGCATCCAATGTCAATACAGGATCTGGCTACCAGTATTAAAAAACTCTAAAATTGCAACAGCACAACAGAGAGGAAGCAGGCAGGGACATCTAATTACCTCTCAACAAAAGTTTGCTCCAGGCACAGTCAGCCCATTGTATGCTAATCAAGGTGGTCAGTTGAAACATTCAAACCTAGCTCCAGCAGACAAGAGTCCTTTGTCTCACCCTGGTCATTCCACAGATATATAAACCCTTTTTCCTAGTTCCAACAGACCTCACTACCTCTGAGGATGCTTGCCATAGATGCAGGCGAAACGTCAGGAGAGAATGCCTCTAGACCATGGCCATTCAGCCCGAAAAACCTACAACAACCCAGTATCTAGTGACTTAGGGGATTTAGGTTTCTAGGGCTGTATCTACACTGCCTTGAACTGGATTATATGAGTCTACACTGTCATATAATCCAACACAAATCAGATAATCTGGATTTTATATGGTAGTGTACATGCAGCCTGAGCTGACCTGTGCAATAACTAGCCTTAGAACTATCTCCTTCTGTGTTGTAAGACTGCCATCTAGAGGTCAGTCAAAGTTATTACAGGAGGCTTATATTTACATCCTAACTGGTGTCATTTGGATAGGTAGAGAGATGCATCTACACTGTAGAATGAGAAGCAGTTTGACACCACTTCAACTGCTATGGCTCAGTGCTATGGAATCTTGGGATTTGTAGTTCTACAAAGTCTTTAGCTTTCTCTGCCCAAGGGCGCTGGTGAGAAACAGAGAAACTGACCTTATAATGCAGTTTGAACTGCACTGAATTGCATTATGTGGTTATACATTGACTATTAAATGCAGTTTGGTACAGTCCAAACTGCATTATATGGTCAGTATAGAACAGGCATGGGCAAACTTGGCCCCTCCTCCAGGTGTTTTGGACTTCAACTCCCACAATTCCTAACAGCCTACCGGCTGTTAGGAATTGTGGGAGTTGAAGTCCAAAACACCTGGAGGAGGGGCCAAGTTTGCCCACACCTGGCATAGAACCAGCTTGTGTCCGTTAATATATTTCTTTCAATGGTTTCTATTTATGTATTTAGCCTTCCCTCGCCCCGTGAGTCTTGAGAAAGGGAGTGTTAAAAATGATGATGATGATGATGGGAATGTAAATTTGCATTACAGAATGCAAGAACCCTGTCAATATTTTCTGAAACAGATGCAAAGAGAAGTCACAATATGATTGCAAATGGAGAATCCTATTTCCATCAGATAAGCATTTATTTTTCAGCCTGTAGTTGCAGCACGAACCACGTTATAGCCATTGCTTAGAAAGGATTATCCAATTCTGTTCATTTGCTTTGGATTTAATAACCTTTGGGCCAACATCCTTCATCGACCGGCCTAGGCACAGGCAGGGATGCTCCGATTTACTTGCTATTCATCTCAGGATTCCCGCTCGCTTATTATTCAGGTCAAGTTCCATCTGATCTGCACACAACGGGGAGACGGCAGCAATATGGAAAGGGCTTCAATATTGCTTTCATCTTTACTTGGGCTGTTCCATCTGAGTACAAGGTTTCTCAGTCTTTTGCTGTCCAGATATTTTGGACTACAACTCCAAATACTGGAATGCTATGTCCAATTCTGGGCACCACAATTGAAGGGAGATGTTGATAAGCTGGAATGTGTCCAGAGGAGGATGACTAAAATGATCAAGGGTCTGGAAAACAAGCCCTATGAGGAGTGGCTTAAAGAGCTGGGCATGTTTAGCCTGAAGAAGAGAAGGCTGAGAGGAGACATGATAGCCATGTAGAAATATGTGAGAGGAAGTCATAGGAAGGAGGGAGCAAGCTTGTTTTCTGCTTCCCTGGAGACTAGGATGCGGAACAATGGCTTCAAACTACAAGAAAGGAGATTCCATCTGAACATGACTGTGAGAGCTGTTCAGCAGTGGAACTCTCCACTCCAGAGTGTGGTGGAGGCTCCTTCTTTGGAGGCTTTGAAACAGAGGCTGGATGGCCATCTAACGGGGGTGCTTTGAATGCAATTTTCCTGCTTCTTGGCAGAATGGGGTTGGACTGGATGGCCCAGGAGGTCTCTTCCAACTCAGATTCTATGATTCTATGAAATGGCACCAGCTAGTGTGGGCAATGATAAATATTTGAGAAGCCCCCAACAACTGGAGGACCATTCTTCTTCTTTAAACATTTGTGGGTTTAACTTTTGAGGAGCTGTGTATTCAGTTTTGATTGATATGATCTCTTTAGGCATCTCTAAGACTTCCTGTGAAACTTTATGCTTTATGCTTCCAATAGAAGTTGCACTATGAGCCCCAGAGCAACGTTTCTGTACCTTGAGAATTGAGGGGGTGTCAGAGGGGTCACCAAAGACCATCAGAAAACATAGTATTTTATATTTATTTATCACAAAACATAGAATGAATATCACTGCAGAGCTGCTAAAACGTTTGCTCTATCACTGGTAGCTACGCATTGTTTTAGAAATCTTGTAACATTTGCTCAGTGCTGTTAATTTGTAAAGAGAGGAAGTAAAGAGTCAGGAAATATAGTGGACAACCCAATACTAAAAAGAATGGTTAAACTGAAATGTTTTGGACATTAAAAATAAAACAACTTCTTTTGAGGGGAAAAAACATATTATTTTCTGTTGGTCATGGGGATTCTGTGTGGGAAGTTTGGCCCAATTCTATTGTTGGTGAGGTTCAGTATGCTCTCTGACTGTAAGTGAACTGTAAATCCCAGCAACTACAACTCCCAAATGTCAAGGTCTGTTTTTCCCAAACTCCACCAGTGTTCACATTTGAGCATATTGAGTATCTGTGCCAAGTTTGGTCCAGATCCATCATTGTTTGAATCCACAGTGCTGTCTGGATGTAGGGGAACTACAACTCCCAAACTCAAGGTCAATGCCAACCAAACCCTTCCAGTATTTTCTGTTGTTCTTGGGAGTTCTGTGTGCCAAGACTGGTTCAATTCTATCATTATTGGTAGAGTTTCAGAATGCTCTTTGCTTGTAGGTGAACTATAAATCCCAGCAACTATAACTTCCAAATGTCAAGGTCTGTTTTCCCCAAATTCCACCAATGTTTACATTTGGGCATATTGAGTATTCGTACCAAGTTTGGTCCAGATCGATCATTATTTGAGTCCATAGTGCTCTCTGGATTTGGTGAACAACAACTCCAAAATTCAAAGTCAATGCCCACCAAACCTTTCCAGTATTTTCTGTTGGTCATGGGAGTTCTGTGTGCCAAGGCTGGTCCAATTCTATCATTGGTGGAGTTCAGAATGTTCTTTGATTGTAGGTGAACTATAAATCCCAGCAAATTAACCCCCCCCCCCCCCCCCCCCCCCCCCCCCCCCCCGCCCCAACCCAATCAGTATTCAAATTTGGGCATATTGGGTATTTGTGCCAAATTTGGTCCAGTGAATGAAAATACATCCTGCATATCAAAGATTTACATTACAATTAATGACAGAAGCAAAATTACAGTTATGAAGAAGCAACAAAAATAATTTTATAGTTCATCTACAATCAAAGAGCATTCTGAACCCCACGAACACTAGAATTGGGCCAATTCTATTGTTGGCACACAGGACTCCCATGACCAACAGAAAATACTGGAAGGGCTTGATGGACACTGACCTTCAGTGTTTTGGAGTTGTAGTTTACTTACATCCAGAGAGCACTATGGACTCAAACAAAGATGGATCTGGACCAAACTTGGCACAAATACTCAATATGGCCAAATGTGAACACTGGTAGAGTATGGGAGAAACAGACCTTGACATTTGGGAATTGTAGTTGCTTTTATTTATAGTTCACCCACAATCAAAGAGCATTCTGAACTCCACCAATGATAGAATTGAACCAAACTTGGAACACAGAACTCCCATGGTCAACAGAAAATACTGGAAGGGTTTGGTCGGCATTGACGTTGAGTTTCAGAGTTGTAGTTCACCTACATCCAGAGAGCACTATGGACTCAAACAAAGATGGATCTGGACCAAACTTGGCACAAATACTCAATATGGCCAAATGTGAACACTGGTAGAGTATGGGAGAAACAGACCTTGACATTTGGGAGTTGTAGTTTCTGGGATTTATAGTTCACCTACAATCAGAGCATTCTTAACCCCAGCAGTGATAGAATTGGGCCAAACTTCCCACACAGAACCCCATGACCAACAGAAAATACTGTTTTCTGATGGTCTTTGGTGACCCCTCTGACACCCCCTCATGACCCCCTCAGGGGTCCTGACTCCCAGGTTGAGAAACGCTGCAGTACAGGGTTCCATAGTTGCTCTTGATAAACACAAGTGCTGATGCTTCTTCACTTCCAGCATCCAATGCCTCTTATACTGTCTGGGAAACAGCCCTTTTGGGTGCCATTTCTGCAACATCTGTCCCTTCCCAAACCACAAAGTTCAAGCATGGAGTAGAAAGGAAAACCAAACAAACTAATGTCTGGTTGTTTTATCCACAGATCCTGGTTGCGTGAGGGCCGATCTGAATACTGAAATCCCAGGAGTTCCAGAAATGGATAACATCACTTCTTCTGATGTGGGGAAGAACTCATGCACTTACCATGAAGAGTTCAAGCAAATCCTGCTGCCAGTGGTCTACTCTGTGGTGATGGCGCTGGGGCTGCCCTTGAACGCGGTGGTCATTGTCCAGATCTGGCTGTCCCGCAAGGTGCTGACCCGCAACATGATCTACATGTTGAACCTGGCAGTGGCCGACTTCCTTTACGTTTTATCCTTGCCCCTCCTTATCTACAACTACGTCCAGAAGGACTACTGGCCCTTTGGTGACTTCATGTGCCGCTTTGTGCGCTTCCAGTTCTACAGTAATCTGCACGGGAGCATCTCGTTCCTGACTTGCATCAGCATCCAGCGCTATTTGGGCATCTGCCACCCGCTGGCTGCTTGGCACAAGAAGAGGGGCCGGGGCTTCACCTGGATTGTGTGCGGCGTGGTGTGGTTAGTTGTGGCTGCCCAGTGCGTGCCCACCTTCATCTTTGCCTCCACCGGCACCCAGAGGAACCGTACCGTCTGCTACGACTTGAGCACACCAGAATGCTCCGGTGACTATTTCCCTTACGGCCTCACCTTGACCGTCACAGGATTCCTAATTCCCTTCATCGTCGTCTTGGGCTGCTACTGCCGCATGGCGGCCATCCTGTGCCAGAAGGATGAGCTGATCGGGTTGGCCGTCCGTAAGAAGAAGGACAAAGCCGTCCGGATGATCATCATCGTGATGCTGGTCTTCGCCATCAGCTTCTTCCCTTTCCACTTGACCAAGACGATGTACCTCATCATCCGCTCCATTAAAGGGACGCCCTGCCTCACCCAGCAGACCTTTGCCATCGTCTACAAGTGCACCCGACCTTTCGCCAGCATGAACAGCGTCCTGGACCCCATCCTCTTCTATTTCACCCAACGCAAGTTCAGGGAAAGCACCCGGCAACTGTTGGACAAGGTCAGCTCCAAATGGAAGCACAATTCCTGAAGGAGCATCATTGGCAGGGTGTGAAAGCAAGTGCGCCTTTGCCTCAAGGGAAGGCAGGCGAAGGAGGGCTTTGTGGCACATGGCACACCACCTCTCCCTCACTGCTGAAGGGCAGACAATGCATGGGCTCTGTGGCACATGGTACACAACCTCTCTCACTGCTGACCAGAGGGAGAGATTGGCCAAACAAGACTAAGACTTCAAAGCCTTGCTAGAGAGGTTGGCTTTGGAGCTCCAAGGATTGAGTCCGGTTGCTGTGCCGAATCCTCCGTCTGATAGCATCAGCACTTTCAAGAAGGAGAATGTTACCTTGTAAATACCGATTCACCAGTGTGTTGTTTTCTTGTGTCGTAGCCACGGGGAAACCATTTCATACTGGTTTTGGAGACAGCCTTTTCTGTCTCCGGTGAGCAAGAAGCAAAGAGAACAAGAGAGGAATGGGAATGTGCTTGTAGTTATGGAGGGAGCACCAAAGCTCACCAGTTGGATGTTTGATTCTTGATGGCACACTCTTGGTCTGGAAGGCTGAGGAGAAACATTCCCCTGAGGGTCCAGCTAATGCTTGTGCAACAAACAGTATTATTACTACCCAACCCAGTGTCCCAGTTGTTCAGATCCCTTGCCAAAAATTAATGGTGACAGAGAGACTCTATGGAGAGACAAACTGTAAGGTTCTGCTCAAGTAGACCTCTATTCTGTCTCCTCTACCATCTTCTGCAAGGACTCACCTGGTTCCTGGTTGGGAGAATGCACTTTGCAAGTCATTTATTGGCAGGGGAAGAGAAGAGGAGCAGCAGAGAAACATCCAACTATGTCCTTTTAGCCAGGCAAACAACAGAGGTACTCTGTTGAAGGTCTCCTGAAGGTCTCACCATCATTGTGGGCTTCTAGGTATAGTAGGGTGGATTTTTTTGTGTCAGAAGTGATTTGAGAAACTGCAAGTTGCTACTGGTGTGAGAGAATTGGCCCTCTGCAAGGACGTTGCCCAGGGACGCCTAGATGTTTTGATGTTTTATCATCCTTGTGGGAAGCTTCTCTCATGTCCCCGCAATGGAGAGCTGGAGCTGATAGAGCAGTGGTTCTCAACATGAGGTCCCCAGATGTTTTTGGCCTACAACTCCCAGAAATCCAAGTCAGTTTACCAGCTGTTAGGGTTTCTGGGAGTTGAAGGCCAGAAACATCTGGGGACCCACTAAAAGCACTGTAGAGGGAGCTCATCTGCCCTCTCCCCGGATTCGAACCTGCAACCTGTCAGTCTTCAGTCCTGCCAGCACAAGGGCCACCGGATGCTCTCAAAATGTTTCATATCAGGAGCAACTTGGGAAACTTCATGTCGCTTCTGGTGTGAGAGAATTGGCTGTCTGCAAGGACATTGCATGGAGGACTGCATGTCACTTCTGGTGTGAGACAATTGGCTGTCTGCAAGGACGTTGCATGGGGGACACCTTGATGTTTTGATGTTTTACCATCCATTTGGGAGGCTTCTCTCATGTCCACGCATGAGGAGCTGGAGCTGACAGAGGGAGCTCATCTGCACTCTCCCCGGATTCAAACCTCCAACCTGTTGGTCTTCAGTCCTGCCGTGCAAGTGTTTAGGATGGGTAAAATGCAGCCTTTAGGAAATATGAGGACGTAGCTCAGGCATGGGCAAACTTTGGCCCTCCGGGTGTTTTGGACTTCAACTCCCACAATACCTAACAGCCGATAGGCTGGGTTTTTGTAGGTTTTTTCGGGTTGTATGGCCATAGTCTAGAGGCATTCTCTCCTGACGTTTCGCCTGCATCTATGGCAAGCATCCTCAGAGGTAGTGAGGTCTGTTGGAACTAGGAAAATGGGTTTATATATCTGTGGAATGACCAGGGTGAGACAAAGGACTCTTGTCTGCTGGAGCTAGGTGTGAATGTTTCAACTGACCACCTTGATTAGCATACAGTGGGCTGACTGTGCCTGGAGCAAACTTTTGTTGAGAGGTAATTAAATGTTCCAGCCTGCTGTTAGGAATTGTGGGAGTTGAAGTCCAAAACACCCGGAGGACCAAAGTTTGCCCATGCCTGACATAGCTGGACATTTCTACTCTGCTCATGCTCTTGACTGACCACTAGATGTCCCTGCTGGGATGCTTCAATACTATATTCCAAGGGATTGGAGAAAGTTGCACAAAGGAGCTGGTAAGATTCTCCTTTGTCAGCTGGTCAGAAAAGACATATGCTGGCGTATGTCGCAAAGAGTAGGTGGACAGATCCAATCTTCAACATACCTACAGGCTGCTCAGAAAGAGTGGCTTGCCCATGGCAGCAAAGGCCATGAAAACAATACAGCACTTCTGTTTTACACATTGCTACTTATTTAGAAAGTTGTGTACTTAGTGCATGTGCATATATGTCTCGGAAGAGACCCTGTTCAATGCAGTCAGTGCAAGGGGTTGAACTGGATGTCCCATGCAACGTCTTCCCTGAGTCTTTGATTCGTATTATTATTATTATTATTATTATTATTATTATTATTATTATTATTTGTCGTGTCAGGAGCGACCTGAGAAACTGCAAGTCGCTTCTGGTGTGAGAGAATTGGCCGCCTGCAAGGACGTTGCCCAGGGGATGCCCGGATGATTCGATGTTTTGTCATCCTTGTGGGAGGCTTCTCTCATGTCCCCGCATGAGGAGCTGGAGCTGATAGAGGGAGCTCATCCGCCTCTCCCTGGATTCGAATCTGCGACCTGTCGGTCTTCAGTCCTGCCGGCACAGGGGTTTAACCCACTGCGCCACCGGGGGCTCATCTTATTTATTATTTATTTACAGTATTTATATTCCACCCTTCTCACCCCGCAGGGGACTCAGGGCAGATTACAATGTACATATACATGGCAAACATTCAATGCCATAGACACGTAACATATATAGACAGACACTCAGAGGCTATTTAACATTACAGCTTCTGGCCACCAGGGGCACCGTCCATTTGTGACATTGATGAAGTACTTCCTCATTCTTTGCATACTTCCTGGAGATTTGTATGGCCTCGTAAATCAGTTAAATTAGCCTCCCCACAAAAGTGGTACCTAAATTTCCTACCTAAATTTCCTACTTTCCTAATTTCCTACAGTTCCATATTGAAGGGGTAAGGAAGCAACTGTCTTTCAGGGTGCAAAGGTCAACAACAAGCTACACAATTTTGGTCGAAAGCTTACTCTGACCCGGGCTGGCTTTGAACTCATGGCCTTTCGGTCAGTAGTGATCTCCCAGCCGGCTGCGCCACAGTCCACGTTCAACAGGGACTTTGTCCAGTGCTTCTTAAATTATCCAAGGTGCAAAAAAGGCAGGGGTTTTCCTCCCAATGTGCCAAGGGTTTATCTATTTCCCCAATGACTACAACATACCTTCCAACATTTCACCGTGAAAGCAAAGCAGGGATTTTCCTTCCAAATGTGCCAAGGACTGTATATAGAATCATAGAATCCTAGAGACCTCATGGGCCATCCAGTCCAACTTTCTGCCAAGAAGCAGGAAAATCACATTCAAAGCACCTCTGACAGATGACCATCCAGCATCTGCTTAAAGGCCTCCAAAGAAGTAGCCTCCACCATATTCCAGGGCAGAGAGTTCCACTACTGAACGGCTCTCACAGTCAGAAAGTTCTTCCTAATGTTCAGGTGGAATCCCTTTCCTGTAGTTTGAAGCAATTGTCCCGAATTCTAGTCTCGAAGGCAGCAGAAAAGAACCTTGCTCCCTCCTCCCTATGACTTCCCCTCACATGGCCATCATGTCTCCTCTCGTATCTGCGTATCTGCACTGTTTGACCCCACTTTACCTGCCCTGGCTGAAGAATGTGGAATTATGGGAGTTGTAGTTTGGCGAGGCACCAAAGCTCTTTCCAAGAAAGGGCTAAAGGGTTGCTGTGAGTTGCTGCATGGTCATGTTCAAGAAGCATTCTCTCCTGATGTTTCACCCACATCTATGTCAGACATCCTCACAACCTCTGAGGATGCCTGACATAGATGTGGGCAAAATGTCAGGAGAGCATGCTTCTGGAACATGGCCATACAGCCCAAAAAAACTTACAGCAGTCTGCTCACTTATTTAGTTTCCAACAGATCTCCCAACCTCTGAGGATGCCTGCCATAGATGTGGGTGAAATGTCAGGAGAGCATGCTTCTGGAACATGGCCATACAGCCCAAAAAACTGACAGCAGTCCACTCACTTATTTAGTTTCCAACAGACCTCCCAACCTCTGAGGATGCCTGCCATAGATGTGGGCGAAATGTCAGGAGAGCATGCTTCTGGAACATGGCCATATAGCCCAAAAAACTTACAGCAGTCCACTCACTTATTTAGTTTCCAACAGACCTTCCAACCTCTGAGGATGCCTGCCATAGATGTGGGCGAAATGTCAGGAGAGCATGCTTCTGGGACATGGCCAGACAGTCGGGAAAACCCACAGCAACCCTATGATTCCAGCCATGATAGCCTTCAACTACACAAAGGCTTAAAGCCTTGTGAAACTATGACTCCCACAATTCCATGGCAGTGGTGTCAAACTGCATTAATTCTGCAGTGTAGATGCACCCTCAGACCTCTTTGGTATTTCTCATTGTTGGCTATGCCATTCTCATTGGTGCTCCGTGGATAGATAAATAGATATTACAATTTGCTCATAAGGCATGACTGCATATATATAATAAAGGAACAGACATTGCAAATAAAACTAGAGAAATAAAAACATAAATGCATGTGTCAAACACATTTTCTAAAATCCTGATTTGCAATCAGTCGGTCTGTGGGTTGCAAAGGTAAATACTACAACTATATACAGTAAATGTAGTGGTGAATTATTAAAGAGTCAGTCCCTAAGTGCATGTGTGAGCCAAAAAGGGAAATACCTGAAATAATATAAGAGTTGTCTAATGTGTTTTAAATGTATTTAATTTATTGACGTCTTTTAATAAAAAATTGAAAAGGGATACATGACAAACGTGTCCTATTTTGTTGGTGAATACAATCTTATGGGTTTGCTTGGTGTGTATTCTGTTGTGTGATGTGAGCTGATGAAATGTAACAAAATTAGGGGGGAAATATTCCTGGTTTGCAAGTGTTATTTCCAGTTTAATTGTGCGGTACTTACGGTACTTTGAAAGTAGTTGTTCTACTCCAGAATCAACTCCAGAAGTAGAATCATAGAATCCTAGAATCAAAGAGTTGGAAGAGACCTCGGGCCATCCAGTCCAACCCCATTCTGCCAAGAAGCAGGAATATTGCATTCAAATCACCCCTGACAGATGGCCATCCAGCCTCTGCTTAAAAGCTTCCAAAGAAGGAGCCTCCACCACACTCCGGGGCAGAGAGTTCCACTGCTGAACGGCTCTCACAGTCAGAAAGTTCTTCCTCATGTTCAGATGGAATCTCCTCTCTTGTAGTTTGAAGCCATTGTTCCTTGTCCTAATCTCCATGGAAGCAGAAAACAAGCTTGCTCCCTCCTCCCTGTGGCTTCCTCTCACATATTTATACATGGCTATCATATCTCCTCTCAGCCTTCTCTTCTTCAGGCTAAACATGCCCAGCTCTTAAGCTGCTCCTCATAGGGTTTGTTCTCCAGACCCTTGATCATTTTAGTCACCCTCCTCTGGACACATTCCAGCTTGTCAATATCTCTCTTCAATTGTGGTGCCCAGAATTGGACACAATATTCCAGGTGTGGTCTAACCAAAGTGGAATAGAGCATGGGGAGCATGACTTCCCTAGATCTGGACACTATGCTCCTATTGATGCGGGCCAAAATCCCATTGGCTTTTTTTGCCGCCACATCACATTGTTGGCTCATGTTTAACTTGTTGTCCACGAGGACTCCAAGATCTTTTTCACACGTACTGCTCTCAAGCCAGGCATTGTCCCCCATTCTGTATCTTTGCATTTCGTTTTTCCTGCCAAAGTGGAGTATCTTGTATTTGTCACTGTTGAACTTCATTTTGTTAGTTTTGGCCATCATCTCTCTAATCTGTCAAGAGTTTTTGAATCCTGCTCCTGTCCTCTGGAGTATTGGCTATCCCTCCCAATTTGGTGTCGTCTGCAAACTTGATGATCTGCCTTCTAGCCCTTCATCTAAGTCATTAATAAAGATGTTGAACAGGACCGGGCCCAGGACAGAACCCTGCGGCACTCGACTTGTCACTTCTTTCCAGAAACACCAATCTAGAACATTTTCAATCAAACCCATGAAAAATTAAATACACACAAGTCAAAAATGCAAATGTGGAAGCCTGGCTTTAATGCTGTCTTGCTTCCCGAATTCGTCTCTCTCCATTATGTCGCGTCTCTGCACCTGGGACGGACCCCCTGCAAAGCATTTACTGGAAGGAGCCCAAAAATTGTCCCATAAACACTGTGAGTTACTCATATAAGTTACAGATTAACAGCAAGGCGAGGATCGGTTCTCGCACTCGCACCCCCCTCTGCCTATAAATGGAGTCCCTCACCGTTGTGGGGGGTGTTTACTGGTTAGTTTGCAACAGATTCAAGAGCTGGGCCAAAACTAACAAAATGAATTTCAATAAGGTAAAAACATACAGTGCAACAATCTAGGGGCAAAGATGACTGCAGATGCAGACTGTGGCCAGGAAATCAGAAGACGCTTCCTTCTTGGGAGGAGAGCAATGTCCAGTCTCGATAAAATAGTAAAGAGTAGAGACATCACACTGGCAACAAAGATCCATTGCCTAGTCAAAGCCATGGTATTCCCTGTAGTAACCTACGGATGTGAGAGCTGGACCTTAGGGAAGGCTGAGCGAAGGAAGATCGATGCTTTTGAGCTGCGGTGTTGGAGGAAAGTGCTGAGAGTGCCTTGGACTGCGAGAAGATCCAACCAGTCCATCCTCCAGGAAATAAAGCCCGACTGCTCACTGGAGGGAAGGATACTAGAGACAAAGTTGAAGTCCTTTGGCCACATCATGAGGAGACAGCAAAGCCTAGAGAAGACAATGATGCTGGGGAAAGTGGAAGGCAAAAGGAAGAGGGGCCGACCAAGGGCAAGATGGATGGATGGCATCCTTGAAGTGGGTGCCGTAAACATGTCCAAGAGGCCTGCCGATGTCCTCCACAAACACCATACTGCCCACCACCCAAGTGAAGGCTTTCATTCGGAGACAATTTCCACCACAGACATCCCAGTGTTTCTTACTCTCTCCATTGGTATAGAATTTGCATGACCCCACCCACTGCCTCTCCTTTAACCCTTTCCTATTTTTTTCTATGGCACACAGCAAACAGAGGAATTGCTCAGCAATTGAACATACTAGAGAGGTTTGGGGAGAACTCACCATGATTTCTAGGAGTTGGGATGTATAGTTCACCTGCAATATAAGAGCACTCTGAACTCCACCAATGATGGACCTGGAACTAACTTGGCACACAAAACCCTCATGTGGTCCACGCTCTTGTTACATCCCGAATAGACTACTGCAACGCTCTCTACGTGGGGTTGCCCTTGAAAACTGTTCGGAAACTTCAACAAGTCCGGCGAGCAGCAGCCAGATTGCTCACCGGAGCGACATACAGGGAGCATACCACCCCCCTGCTGTACCAGCTCCACTGGCTGCCGATTCAGTTCCGAGCACAATTCAAGGTGCTGGTTTTGACCTACAAAACCCTGTACGGTTCCGGTCCAGTGTATCTGTCCGAACGTATCTCCCTCTACGTCCCACCTCGGAGTCTGAGATCATCTGGGGAGGCCCTGCTATCGACCCCACCACTGTCACAAGTGAGGCTGGTGGGGACGAGG